AGAAGTTGAAGAGGAATCGCTCCAGTAATCACTCAAATGTCAGAATTCTTGCACTACATACAAGAACTTTTGTACTCCGTTCTGCAAGCTCTCAATTCTGCATGAAGCGAAGTTGTCTTGCTCACTGAAGGATCGTAAAGTTTACACGTGAATGTCTCTCTGCTGGCCATGAAGCAGAGCAATAAGATTGTGAAAAGAAAGAAATTCATCATTAACTCAGGAATTTACTTATAATATATGCACCTTTATTGATAAAGACTATACTGAGATACCAGAAAAGGAAAGGTCAACACTTTGTTATACCTATCATATAATACCTTTTCTCAGCATTCTAAAGACTTGCAAAATAGGGTTAAGTTATGTTGACTATAATGGATTCTGCTGTGGGCCCCCGTGCCCTCGCTAGGAATATTTGTGGAAGGCAAACCTACAACATTTGAAGCGAGAAAACGAGGGCGGAATGATCGACACGGACACAATTTCTTTTTTTACACTTATAAATGAAGTCCTGTATCAGTCATATGCGAATACTTCTTTTAATCTCTTATGTGTAATCAGCTTTGAAGATTTAGATAAAGAAAATCTTTTGACAGTTACCGTAACGAAAAACTTTGTTAATCCTTAAACCGAGTCCGCAACTCGTGACTAAAATGTCCGTTGCTTGTGACCAAATGTATCAAATGACAAGTTTACGATGCTTTCAAGCTTTAAAATGATTTTAATCAACATGGAGGAAGTCTTTGTTTAATTATACAACAATCATTAAATTACCCCAGTCGCAATGCCATTAATTGAGTTTTGCAATACTCAAAATCGAATGGTAATTTTAAGAAAATGGTGCTCAAGAATATTTTTTTACCTAAAAGTTAGAGTCAAAAGATCTCATGTTTTTCAAATAAAGTATCGCAGATGTAAATACTTACTTGGCTCAAGGCTTAATGAATGAATTCGTGGCTTTTTTGATGACATGCTGTGAATTTATGTCCAAACATGTAACGAGCCTACGCTATAATTATCTTACATGATGCTTGTTTTGAACTCACACCAGAGAATGTAAAAAATTTGGTTTTTTGCTCTACAAAAATTCACTCTGCTTTCTTTTGCACTCATAGTTTGCATTTCCTTGAAGATATTAGATCGTTTGGGGAACATGCGCTTCTGAATGTTTCATTACTCGAAACTCCATTCTGCCCATCTTCATCTAAATATAATATTCGGTTATGGCAAACGTTTCGTAAACGCCTTTTTTCTTTAGCCAGATTTTAAGCCGGTTATGATTTCTGAAGTGAATCGTTGATTTGATGACAATACTTTTTTCCAGAGGAGCTAAGTGGTGTTTTTCAGTAATGCAAAAAAATAATTTTTAGATCATCTGTTTAGTGTCATTGAGAACCTTTACAACAAGCTCCTTAGCGATTGCTAATAGATTGCATCGAAAATTTGCTTCGATGACGTTTAGTCATTTTTGCTTCTCTATTGGTAGATAACATTTTGGTAACAAAAGGACATCGGGAGTTTTAAGGAAAAGAAAATGGTGCGAATGTGATAATTTATTTTGTAATGATCTTGCATTCAACAGATAGCATTTGAGAAAGTCGCCTAGCTCAAACCAGTTTCCCTAGCATGTTGTATGAGGTGGCGAAGAGAATTACGCGAAGCTTATAAAGGAGACCCTGCTATGCGAGAGCGAGCTCATTGGAACAAGCTCTCCTTGATAAACCATGATTTGCTCTTCAAAACTTCTTTTCTAATTTGATTTCTTAGCCTATTTGCGAAGGTCACGCTCACGTTCCCTTTCTCGAGCCGTCATGCTTTTTCTAATATAGACAACCTTGAATGATGGAGAGTCCCGGAGCAGTCGGACCCGAGAAAGGGCGCAGGACCAATGTTTTTTTGTGGGTAATTCATTTTTGTGGGTATTCAACCTTCGCACGTCTGTTAGTCACTCTACAATCCATTTGGAAAACCTTTACAGGTTTATACTCGATATCTAACGTGTCAAGAATTTCACATACTTTTTGTTTGGTATCATTATGGCGTTCAGATGGCAAAGTATATTTCTGTTCATCCCTTTTAGCAAGTTCGGGCAGGCCTGCAATGGCTTTGCTTCTGTTAACATCTCTTTCAACCGTCCCACCAAGCTCATCTAAGCGCGATAGAATCTCGTTAGAGAATGTGATTTTATTGCGCTCTTTGTTACGATCACTCTATTACGCACCTCCGATATGTTCATCCAACAATTTTTTAAAGGCTGCAGGATCATTCATGAAAGGCGGACAACCATGGCTGTTCAGTGAAACTAGCCAAGTTGATGGAAACTAACACGTCTTTTCTGAAAATCTTCTTTAGCGGTCTCTAAATCTTTGCGCTGTGAGTTTGTGTTTTTTGCAGGCATAACTTGAAGAAAGGAAAAAAAGAAGACTTGGAAGCAAAGTTATTGATTAGATACTGAATTGGGTACAGTTAAGTGGAAAGACAGAATAGATTTGGTCAGATTCAAATGGAGTGAATAGCTAAAGTTCAGAAAATTTGTAGCTATTCTCTGGACTAATTTCAGAAGGAAACCGGCACAAAAGGAAAAGATCAAAGAAGTAGTTTGGTCCCCAAAAATACCTCTGAGCACTCGAAGAATCAAAAAGGAATAAGCGCGGTGCGAAGAAAGCGGAAGATGACAATTGGAGCAATAGTGCTGACCTGTATCCTTCCGAGTAAAAAGTCTGAATGATCACATAGATATAAATATCAACCTCTTTCTGTTATTTATTCAACTTTTGTTGTCGACTTCGTTTCGAGGTGTGAGAGTAGGGTCATAACCAGGGTCAAGCGTGGGGTGTGGCATGCCACACCTGAGGGGTCGTATTGAGGAATCAGGGAGGGTAGGGGGTCATTATCAAGGCGTCCGCTGTTCGCATAACATGATATTCGTTAACAACGTCAAATAGGTCCGTCATGCAAAATACTAGCACATTGCAGTTTGACCCATTATCGTGTACGTACAGTAAGCATAAGGATCTATAAAGCATAAGAGCATCGCTTTGTAATCAGCAAGTAAAATAACCCTCGTGGTCCAAGTTTTAGCGAATTCTGAGGTTTCCAAATACAGATACCTAAGTGAGATGGTCAAAACATGTTACTTTGTTTCAAAGGTAAGTCAACTAGTTCCTTTTGCGAACACATTGACGACCATGCAGATTTTTAGTTGTCTGCCTTCTGGGACCAGGGCCTTTTCCAGACCAGCTCAAATTTTTCAACTATAATTACGTATACTGCCGTTTACAGTACAGTTAAAATATCTGACAGGCTGACAAAAATGGTAGAGGTCATCCCTAGATTCAGCGTAAAAGAAAGCTCATGGAGTGAGTTTTCCCCAGAATAGCTGTCATTTAGCAAAATTCAAGCCTTGACACACATGGTGTGTCAAGCGGTCGTCAGTGTGTTAATACAGAACTGCTATTTCTTTACTCGCATTAGAAATCCTACTTCGAATGATCTCCAAATCAAAGAATTAAGAACAAGCGAAAACCTCGTTTGTTCCGTTTTTCGTTTTCAATATCTCAGGCTAAAGAAGACCAATCAGGCTCAAATCGCTTTAATGTAGAGAGGCTTAGAATATCGACTATATACATTATTGTGCCTTCCTTTGCCATTCAGTAGCGCAGACTTAGCATGTTACCGTATCCCAATATTTTCACAGTATTTTACCAGTATTTCACATTTGCATAGGTAAGGAAAAACAATTATATCTTGCTCTTGAAGAAACGTTTTCAAATGAAATTTCTGCTATGTAAAGAAGAAGGTTAAGCAGTAACAACGATATAAAAACGTAGCTATTTGATCTTTGAAGGTAAGTTAATTGAGTGTGGATCCACCCCTGAAAAGCTGTGGCAGCCAAAGCTTTTTAGGGGTACCGCACCCCATTAACTATATCAAAAAACATATTTAGCGGACGTCGTTTATATAAATCGATAGCCTCAATCTCGTAGATTTTACAGGGGAGTGATTTGAGCCTGATTCATCTTCTTAGCTCTAATATTTGATGAAAGCCATTAAAAGCGAAAAATAAAAAAAGATTTTGGTTGGCTTCTAATTCCAAAGTTACAGGGTCTTTTGTAGCGAAATTTCTGAAGTGGCCAAAGAAGGAGTAGTGCTTTGTCTTGAGTGCAAAAACAGCTAGCTAGTTCACCTTTGAAACAAAATTAATCATGCCGGAAAATGGCGATTTCGCTTAGGTGACTCAGTATTTTGAAACTTCAGAATTCGCTTAAACATTGTCTACAGGAGTTAATTGGAATGCTAATTATGGATATGTTGTCCATTATGTTTGACAGGGCCTTCAAGTAATACTTTCTTAGGTATATAGTTCAGGGGGTCTTATTGAGGCAGCAGTAAGGGGGGGGGGGGGTCCCAGCGATCGTGTGCCACAGCTCTTGCTTGACCCTGTTCAGGACCCTGCACGCGTCGGTTTGGAGGATTTTTGAAAACGGAGTCCCCTATGACTCCGCAAATTTTTACGAAGTCCCCTTTGACCCAAATTAGCATATCTGAATTGCCAAGCCTTTAACACTCAAGAAAACTTGTTTCCAAGAGAAAAAAACTTTATTCATGACTACGAACATAAAGACGAGGCATTTTGCCAATTTTGAAAAAAATATGACCACAATAAGACATATTTGCAGTCATTAAAGAAGTACGAAAGGCTTTTCAGAAAAGGTGAGCAAGCAAAGTAAGTTAGTTTTCGTGAGATCAGGAGGAGATCTGACCATTAGCGACGACTTCATGAAGGCGAAGTGGATTTCAGTCCTGAGCAAAGCGTATCCTAGGTTTAGTACTCGACTTCGTGACGAATTTGGGTTTTCTGGGCCAAAAATAAGAGCGAAAACTATGATGAAGTAAGTTTTGCAGACCTTGTGCGGAATATAAAAAGTCTCAGTGATCGAACTGGGAGGTATCCAGTGAAATCAGTTTAGCAGAACTAGCAGAGCTCGGGGGAGGGGGGCACCCCTTTGTGGCCTAAGCCACGAAGGGGTTAGTATTGTTGGCCATCAGTGCAGGCAGCTGACGATACATCAGTGCATGCGGGGGTGCGATTGGGTCCTGGCGGGCGTTGTTCCCATCACGGTTCTGTTTTGCCTAAATAAGACTTCTGGTAATAGATATTGAGGAATAATTTCAAACTCACATAGCGGTATTGAAAGTAAAAGGAAATGAGCAGAAGCAGGAAATTCGTGAAGTGTGCGAGCTTGTCCACGAACCCGAATGTCGGACTATCACATCTAATCGGTTGCACAAACTAAAAGTAGGACAAAATATTTGTTTGAAACTCAAACTTCAAAGTTCTCACCATCGGCTTTTGTTGGTACCCCTTGTTGTCCGACAAATATTGGCCATATGCGGGAGTGATGACAGAGAAACACAGAAAGATGACAACACATTTAAAGCCCGCAAGAGATCTAAAAAAAAGTTGAACAAGTTGAACAAGGAAGACGTCCGTTTACAGTCCTATGGCAAAAAGATGCCAGAGCCCCATGTGCTTCTTCTGCTTTCGATCGACTATTCTCACAAAAACTCTTTCGTGCGCTTGGCGCATTCACATGAATATAGGAACAAATGGGAAAATTGCATCAAACAGCTTCCCATTTTCTTATCTTCTGATGATTGTTAATTATGGTCAACATTTTTCTAGTTCTTTAATTGAAATGTTCACACCATCTGGAGTCAAGCAACTTTTCACTAGAGTGTTCTCTTTATGAAAGCAGTGTCCAGGCTAGTCTGGGTGTCTAAATTTTTTACATATATGGATAGAGCTAGAAGGATTGAGCTAAGCCGTTACCAAAGCAAAAGCTTTGTGGTTCTTTCTGTAATCTGACCTTAAGCTCTCGCCCGGTATCGTATGCCAACGTCGCTGGTTGGTCCGCGCGCGAAAGAGCAGCGAGCGCTCACCATTAAAGCGCGTTTCGCGAAACACTTAACATCGTTGCATAGTTATCTCCTAGCTAGACAGTAATTTTGAATAGTAAAAAAGCACCAGAAGTTCTAGACTTCGGTAAAGTTGGTAACAAGAAAAACGAACGAGAGCGGATATTGCGAAAGCGCAGCTGGTGGCTGGCTGACTGGCTGTCGGTGATCACATGCACACGACGTACGGTATATGCCCAACTTCCATCGGCTGCGAGATAACGTGCTCCAAAAAACTGAGCTCTAACCTAGTATAAAAACTATGTTTTCGACTATTTTGTAGATATTAGTCCGTTAGGCTTACTATTATGGAGAATAGAAACTTTACTACAGAGTTCGACCCACAGTACCCACAACCTTATAATAGCTTTTCGCTGCAGTCGTACGGTGCAATTTTCTCGGCGATTCCGATGTATCCATAATGGTATTGGATTTCAGGGTACCTACTTCATTTCTGTGCACTTGCGCTAGGTGCACATCAGAAGTTTAGATTCATCTATATGCTTGTATGCACCACGGAAGTTAACAATATGTTCTACTTGAAAAATCAGATAGATACCTTTTGTAATCATGTTCACAGAGACCAAACTATAGAAAATGCTTCCACTTTTCTAAAAATGGCGAGGGCATCTATACGATAGAAAGGAAGGAAAATCTTTGAAGAGAACAGTAAAAGAAAAAGAAGTACATGTTCAATGGACTCAAAGCGTATACTAAATCAGAACAAATCATATACTTAAGGCAAAAACATTTTTCCTCAGAAAGAAAACAGCAAGTTTTATTGGAATCCACCTATGCTGTACAGAAGTGAATGGGAACGACAAAAATTTTGAGAAAAGTTAACAAAATTCTATTTTCAAGCTTTGGAATCAAAATGCTGAATCCTCTTAGGGCAAAGAGACTTTTTCTTCGCTGCAGTACAGCTACCGTAACTATGCAAGAAAGTATCTATCTATCTACTTTGCAAATTATCTATCATTCCTACCGTGAAAAATAACCCCACTGACACGAGAATTCCACTTAAAAATATGATTTTAAAGTTCCTAAAGGGAAAGAGATACCGAAACCTGGGAAAATTTTTCGTGTGCCCTTCTTAGTAGTGTGTCTGAAGAAAATAAGTCGAAAATAAGATCTCTGAGATTATTATTAACTATGCAAGAAAGTATCTATCTATCTACTTTGCAAATTATCTATCATTCCTACCGTGAAAAATAACCCCACTGACACGAGAATTCCACTTAAAATATGATTTTGAAGTTCCTAAAAGGAAAGAGATACCGAAACTTGGGAATATTTTTCGTGTGCCCTTCTTAGTAGTGTGTCTGAAGAAAATAAGTCGAAAATAAGATCTCTGAAGAATATTAGGGCTCGGTTTAAGTTGGGCATATACCGTACGTCCATGCACACAAAGCTCTGGGAACAAGCATCTGTTTGACAACTCTGTGAGGATTCGAGGAAAGACAAGCTGTTACGAAAATAGTACTAAGTAAAAAGCTTTTGCCAGGCCCCCCCCCTGGAAATAAAAACGAGAAGCGACGAAACTCTCGCTCTCGGCAGTGGCAATTATGTGCGGTTTGAGCGCTGGGATGCGATTAACGAGCCCTCTCGCCTCGACCCCCTCCCCCGGAGTCAGGATCATCAGATTCCCTCGCGATGAGCAGCGGAAATGCTCGAACATGCCGGCTACGAACGCCGATAGGGCTCAGCAAATGATGACAGCGCCATAACCGTAGTAACTAAGAAAATTATAGATAGCAAACGATAAATAACGATAAACTAAGAATTAGAGATAAACATGGTATCAAAACTTCCCGAAAACTAAGAGCTAACCTTGTATGACGCTTGAACCCCTCCGGGGGAACTTTGAACTCATACTTCAGCGCTTCATTAGCTTAGGACGAGACATATCTGGAAGGAAAGCAATTAGGATTGAGAATGAAAGAAAGGAAAAGACGAAGAGATGGGAAATTGGGCCCAAGAGATGAGCACACGGTGAGAAGAAAACGATGCAATCGACGCCGCTTCACAGGACGCCGTTACACACATGTGATTGTGGCGCGATATCTATCAACGCATAGATTTACAATATTTTTGGCTCTTCGCTCTCTTCACTATATAATAGATTTTTGCGCGTTTTAATCGTCCAAAACAAAAGGTTCAAAACTTATGTGAACTCTCCGAAATTCATGCTCCGAACCAACCCAGTTGGTTCGGAGCATAAACGGGAACGGGTATTCAGACACATAAGTTTTGAGAACTTTTTACATAACATAGTTTGGAGTAATATTGTATACTCATAGCCCAAATTCGGAGCCATGTGATTGTTTGTGCGCTGTAAACAAGCCATTTGTTTGTTTGAGTCTTACATTTAAAATTTGCGCGCTTACGAAAGAACACGTTCAAGTCGTGAAACCTGACATGTTCGTCGTGTTTTTTTGGGGCTTCCTCCAGGACCTCATGAAAACGATGTCCCCGTTGCTTCTAACTCCAAAAACGAAGTCCAGTTTGACCCCAAACCATCGGTGCCGGGCCCTGACCCTGGTCGTAACCTTTTTGCGTTGATGTTTTTACGAGAAGGAAAGTGAATTACATTAAATCCTCGACCTAAATAGCGTTATTTCGGTCATTGCTAAAGCCAACTAATCCACTGAGCTATTGATTATTGATAAGCACACAAACATCTTTTTCTCTATTTCGCAAAATTTCACACTCTGTAAGGTCTTCAATGTATTGTATTTTTCATGTTTTGTTTTCAAAGATTTCATTTTAAATATTTTCACATCAACTGCTTCATATTGATTCTCTTTCCCTGCAGCCAAAATATGATAATAATTTCATCCAAACAAAGCTTTGAATTTTTTTGTAACTTTCCAGAAAAAGAAAGATTGCGACAGTGATTATGAGGGTCAAGCGCGGTGTGTGGCACGCCACACCGAGGGAGGGGGGGGGGGTCGTGTCGCGGGGTCAGGGTGGAGGGAGGGGTACTTATCGAGGTGTTACTGTGTTAACAAGGACATCTCGTTAAAAAAGTCAGACAAACCCATTTTGCAGGAAACAAGCACACTGAGGTGCTGACTACTCTACCATCGTATAGGTATAGTAAGCATGATAAAGAAGCCTTGAAATACAACAGCATCATTTTCTCAATTAGCATGCCAAATCACCCTTATGGGCAAAGACAGCCAATTTTGAGGTTTCTAGGTTTGGGCCACCCGAATGAAATGGTCATCTTCGAACATGTCAACTATGTTCCAGAGGTGAGTTGGCTACTTTTTTTGCACATGTTACAAAGAAGTACTTCTATTTTGCTCACATTGTGAATCTCACTTCAAATAAACGCGAAATTATGGAATTACGAGCAAGTCAAAATCTCGTTTGTCCCACTGTTTGCCTTCGATGCTCAAACTAGAGAACAATAATCAGTCTCAAACCACTTTTTTGGAAACTGCAACGTTTAGACAATCGAATGCACATATTCTTGCTGCCTTCCCTCGCAATCCAAGTGATAGCGTAGACTCAGCATGTTACAGCAATCCAGTATGTTGCTTTGCATAGGGTAGGAAGAACGACTATATTTCACCCTATTGTAACGGTTTCAAATGAAATTCTCAATGCGTAGAGAAGAAAGCTAGTAGTACCAACAAGAAAAAAGCATAGGTATTTCAATGCTATGGAGGTAAGTAAGTGTGGCACAACCCCAAAAAGGTGTGGCTTCCACAGTCTTTTATGGAGTGTGCCACCCCATTGAAGGCAGTGTCCGAGCAAGATGGGAGTTTTGGAATTTCAGTGCCATGCGAAAGTGGCTTTCATCATACGCAGCATCGCGCAAGTACGAGGTTGTAACTTTCAACCTAAAGCAACAAAAACGATCGGGAAGTGGGGAAACTTATGTCTTGGGGAGAGGGGTCCTCCGGTTTGAAATCATGCCAAGCGGCAGAGTACGTGTGCCGCCACAATCAAAATGGTAGGATCCTGCAGCGACTCTGCGTCTTAACCTTGGCAAGGCGTGAAATTTCAAATTGAAAGGCTTTGGTAAACGCATGTTCTCACCGACTTCGTGCTTTCTAATGTGGATATTCGAATTCAGCGTTACGGATAACTCTCGGTAAGTGGATTTTCTAAAAACCGAGTTTTTGCCCGGATACTGTCTTTGACCCAGCTTCAAAAAGAATTTTTGCGTACAGTATCTACGCAGTTCAATAGCCCGATTCTCGTAATTTTCAAAATAGTAATTGAGCTTGATACATTCTTTAGTCTGTGCGTTTGTTGCTAAAAGCAAAATACTGAGAGTGAGAAATGGGACAAACGAGATTTGGCTGGCTCCTGATTCGACAATTTGGAGGTTATTTGAAGTGCGGTTCTTTATGTGGGCAAAGAAGTAGCGCTTTATACTGAGTATCTTTCAAAAAAGCTAACCGTGTTCAAAAATGACCGTTTCACTTGGATGGCCTGATACTAGGAACCTTCAGAACTCATAAAAATTGCCCAAAAGGGGTTGTCTGACATGGTAATTCCAAATGTGTGATTATTCATGTTTATTATACCTCAATGTTATGGCTGCCTAGGTAATGGTAGTGGTGGAGGTGTCGTATCCGGCAATTGTGTGCTACACCTCTTACTCGAAATTCACGAGCGGCCTTACCTGTGTTGGAGTGGCAGAGACGACTAATGCAGGATGGGTTTCTGTTGCTCGAGGTAATTTATCGTACTGGAAGAGTTGAGGTGGGACCTGGCACAACAAAGAAAGATAACTTCACTTGTTTTCAGAATTCGAGATCCTACTTATCTTAAAAGCAAGACTAAGAAATCGCAAGTGTTCACTAACTGCGCTTTCTATCTTTTACAGAGATCAGGAAAGTTGGATTTCTAAAAAAGGAACAGAGTTGTGTTGTAAACACGGCCCGAAGCAGCTGGAACCGGGTCGAGCTGGATATCGTGTTTGAGGGAAAAGCAAAGGAAATATTGTTCTTGCGGGATTCGCAAGGAGAGCCGCAGGCATGCCTCCTGCATGCTCTAAAATAAACAAAAGCGTTGCTTACAATCAAAACGCAGTAGTATGACACCAAATTTGCTGTGCGCATGCGGTTGAGGTGACCCGAAGTATGACCTAAATATTCATGAGAACTCAATAATTGGAACCGTGCTAAACTTTTTTCGAATTCCTTTAACCAAACCGACCCTTTGCTCACATAATTTAAGCCTTCTTGCATATATCGTACCTTTACCGCAAAGTTTATATGCACAAAAAACGTTCCATAACCTCTAGCCTTTCTCGGGAGGCGTGCAAGTGGTACCCGGGCAGCCGACTGCTGCCGCAGCCAGCCGCCAGAGCTGCCGGCAAAGCTGCTGCAAATGGTACAGTAATTACGCTCACGTCTAGAACTCTTACCAAGAGGATTCCTCGCACCTCGTCGCTCTGAGGTGCGAAATCAACCTCAAGAAAGCGTGATATCCCTGATATCTATATCATTTGCAACAGCAAAAATTTTCTGTTTTTTGAGAAACATGCAGATAAACAAAGGTGAAGAGGGCGGTTTTTCTAGGTTAAAATGATCACAAAATCAACTCACTCAATCAAAAACTCAAAGGAAGCAGAAGATATAACGGTAAGAAAGCTCTGCCAAAATGATTATTTCATATATAGTGTTAAGTGAGCTAAATAAGGCAAAGAAAGTCAATCAAATTGAGTAAAATAAAAGTCAATAACAAAAGATGAAAATACGCCACATCTGCTGATTTTGAGAATATAAATAATAATGAAAAAAATTCGAAATTCACAACCTCACTGCAAGTAATAAAAACAAAACTGCATTTCGGATTCTGAAGCGTTCATAGAAATGTGAATTCGATTTCTAAGAATTTTTCATTGAAAAACAAGGATCCTTAAAACTACAGCGTCAATGGATATTTATTGTACTTTGATTTCATAATTTGTAACAGAAGAAACTGTTTGTTTTCCTATCATTTTCGTAATTGTTTGTGAATTTTTGGAAATTTTTTGGTGTAGTTTTGCATTCGACTGTATAGTTCTCAATGAAATATGGCTTTTCTCTGCTGTTTAAAATAACATACATATTGAGGACATTACGCTATCATTGACTTACTCAATTTGATTGACTTTCGTTGCCTTATTTAGCTCGCCTAACACTATATATGAAATAACCATTTTGACAGAGTTTTCTTACCGTTATATCCATGACATTTTCCTGTAACTGTTCTCGTCCGTTATGTAAAAGCGAGGAAATCTCTAGAAATTTGGGAAATTTCTGAACCTTTTAGCTTCTGCTACCTTTGAGTTTTTGAAGTGATTTGAATTTATGATCATTTTCCTTTAAGAAACCTCTCCTTTGTTTACCTTTGCTTATTTGCATGTTTCTCAAAAAACATGGACTTTCTGCTGTTCAAAATAATATAGATATCGAGTATATCAAGCTTTCCTTAGGCTGATATCGCACTTCATAGCGACGAGGTGCGAGAAAACCTCTCGGCAAGAGCTTTAGACGACGAGCGTAGTTACTGTACCATCTGCAGCGGCTTTGCCGGCAGCTCTGGCGGCTGGCTGCGGCAGCAGTCGGCTGCCTGTGTACCACTTGCTACGCACCCGCCTTTCTCATAGCCCTCAGGAAATTTTCAGTAATGGCACAATCTGCTCCAATTGCAAAGCGCGCCCCAAGCAGTCTAGTTTAGCCTTGGTTAGGCTTGCCTTTCCTTTCTTTCTTATTTTTGTGTTCTTTTTCATTACACATACCTGTTGTCATTCCCAGGAGTAGGGAAGGGAAGGTGGATGGAGTAAAAAGAGGAGGGAAAAAGAATTGGGTGAGTAAGGGAGATGGGAAAAACTGTGGACCGGCAGGTTCAGGCACCGACAGTGGAGTAAAACGTGAAGTGTTTGGCGTATGATGCGGAAAGTAATTAAAGGTTTGAGTTGAATTTTTTCGAATTTTTAGTAAAAAAAAGGGCGTTGTCAGCCTTGACCCTTCAATTCTGGAGTGTGTATCGATCTTTGACTGTATCGATTTTTTGCAAATTGAGCTACAGGGCTGGGAGTTGGCCAGGGCGTGATTGAGCATGCTAATTACGAATATATTACTTCAGGGCCGGGTGCGACCCGGTTTACCAGTTAGTAGATAAGTATTTATCCGAACCTGCTTAGGTCTTGAAAAGCGAATACGGTAGCTTAAGGGCAAGAGAAGACAATTTTTTTCTATTTATATCATGGTTTGGAACTCTGCGAAGCAGTGGCGTACCGAAGAAAAGCGGAGGGCGAGGGAGAAAACCCCCCTCGCCCTCCGCTTTTCCATTTACCCATTTACATCTTATATATAAAGCTGAATGTCTGTTTGTATGTATGTCTGTCTGTCTGTATGTATGTCTGTGTGTACGTATGTTCCGAATAGAAAATTCCATTTCTGAACCGATCCGGACCAAACTTGGCACACATACACTACGGGCCCCGGCGGGTGTCATAGGCTACTTTTCGTCATCGATCGATATCGATTTTATCGATTTTTATCGATTTTTTTGCTGAGTTCACCTACGGGGCTGGGAGTTGGCACGGGGGGGGAGGGGAGGAGAGGGGGTAATCGAGCATGGGGATTCCGAATACAATATTGGTTTTCGGGATTATCGATTACTATTATCGATTTTATCGATTTTTTGCAAAGTTTGAGGTAGGGGGCTGGGAGTTGGCACAGGGGGGTAATCGAGCATGCTGATCACCCCCAAGGGGGGTGATCAGCATGCTCGATTACACTCCTGTGCCAAATTCCAGCCCCCTAGCTCAAATTTTCAAAAAATCGATAAAATCGAAAAAGTAATGGACGATCCTGAAAACTAATATTGTGTTCGTAATCAGCATGCTCGATTACCCCCCTGTGCAAACTCCCAGCCCCGCAGGTCAAACTTTACAAAAAAAATCGATAAAATCGAAAAAGTAATGGACGATCCTGAAAACTAATATTGTGTTCGTAATCAGCATGCTCGATTACCCCCCTGTGCAAACTCCCAGCCCCGCAGGTCAAACTTTACAAAAAAAATCGATAAAATCGATAAAAGTAATGGACGATCCTGAAAACTAATGTTGTATTCGGAATCCCCATGCTCACTTCCCCCCCTGTGCCAACTCCTAGCCCTGTAGGTGAACTCTGCAAAAAAATCGATAAAAATCGGTAAAATCGACATCGATCGATAACGAAAAGTGGACTGTGACACCCGCCGGGGCCCGAAGTGTATGTGTGCCAAGTTTGGTCCGGATACGGCGGAGCCGGGTAAGCCAGCTAGTCTATTACAAAATATCCGGTGATTTGGCTTGCAAATATTCAAAATAACTTTTGGAAAGGTCTGATTCAGATAACCCTAGTAAAAAAATTTTTGGGGGCGTAAAATTTTGCGAAGCACCTCAAGAGATTTTGGGAGTGCCAACTTCATCCGAAAAATTTGTTCCCCATCCCCCTCCTCCCGAACGCAATTCCTGTAATATATCTTCACGGCAGTGGTGTACTCAGAAATTCCGTTCGGAGGAGGGGAAATTTTGAGCATCTCAAAAAATTTTAGGTATGTCAACTTCATCCAAAAAACTTGTCCCCTCACTCAAGAAATTTTAGGTGTGTCAACTTCATCCGAAAAATTTGTCCCCCCCCCCTCCCCGACCCCGAACGGAATTCCTGGGTACACCACTGCCATAAAGGTATATTACAGGCTAGTCTTCATGCTAGTTGCATCTGTTAGACAAAGTAAACCAAGTGACTAATATTTTGCTGGCTTATGCATCTCTGCTTTCGCTATTGTGCGCCTAGTAATGCTTGGCTACAGGAATCATGTTGAACTCTATATTATTATATCTGCATTCAGATTACAAAAAGAAATCGTTCCACTTACGTTGGTCTACATCGGCTCCCATCTGCGCATTTTGTGGAGCTGGTTTGAAATAATTTTTCATAATCGTAGCATCTGCAGAATCGTCATCCTCAATGATTTCGGTCGTTGGAATGACAGTAGTCGTCGTAAGTGGCACAGTCACATATGAATACGTTCTCTAAAATGTTCAGTATTTGCAAAAATTACCTGCAAACAGGTCACTTACCGATTGCAAGCCGGCTACGGTAGAGTAAACCGCGCTTCCTCCATCAATCTTCTTTCGCTTCTTCTTCACCAATGTCACTTTGAGAGCTTTCATAGGGCCCTTTTCAGTGACATCAGCTCCCTAAAACGCTTAGTTTCATTTCCTTAGTTGCAGGAATTACTGTCAAGAAGAAGGCGCTAACGACGCAACATGTACTTGTGTATTTGTTCATTACTATTTATGATATATGCTCTAGTCCTTTGTAGGTCAATATGTGACTGCACATATGCGCGGCAATGGATGAAACCCTTCTGGTAACTCCTCAGTGAAACCTCTAGGGTAACAAACTGTAGAGTTGTGTTACTAACACCTATAAAAACAAACCGAAAGAGGAAAACATGAAGAAATGAATAAAAATGAGTAGGTTCTAACTCCGTGAGACGTCAAGTAGTTATTTTATTATCGTTGACTTGATCATATTAGGTTGTCCCGAAAGCTTTGTCGGTTTTTCAAACCACTTCAGAAACAGTTACATAAAAATCTAAATGAGTTTCAACACACGCGTTCGGTACAGCTTTTCCTTCTCTTATGGTTACATTTTCGAAGTTCAATATTTAAGCTTTTTATTAACTGGAAAAACTCGCCAACCCTCATTTTTGTCTGCTTCAAGTTCGGCTAATTTTTGAGCAAGAAACCAAAGCACTGCAGCAAAAAAAATGAAAGCTTTCGAAGTTTCTGCTACTGAAGTTTGATTGCTATTGAATATTATTTGTACATAATAATCAAGTTTGATTTTCCTCAAAAAACCAGCTTTTCGGAGTTTTCGGTACTCCTATGCGCTGAACAGACCAGAAAGCCCGGTTTCTTCCAAATAAATAATCATTACATACTTGACAAACGTCATCTATGTAATCTGAGAGAAGTGTGATGCAGCCAAAGGTCTATTCTACATAATAGTTTTTAGCGCTTTTCGAGAATATCGTGAGAAGATTTTTTAAAATTCTGAGAGAACTTGGCGTTATCGTTAAGCTGCTTAAAAAGCCATGGCAATAACGTCCCAAAGACAGCATAGATCAGACATCAAATGTAGCTATAAGAAAGAGGAGAGAAATCTGAATCGAATGCTAGCTAAGCCGTCCATCAATTGGTGTTCTTTGAGTTTTAGTAATCGATGAAAGAACCGACAAAACTTTCGGCACAACCTAATATTTTGATAGTGCAGAGCAAAAGGAGGCAGGTTTAGAATTAAAGTCTTTTATATTGGTGATGTACTTTTTTCCTAATATGCACACGAATTTTCAACTTCGGCAGACTCAAGTTTTCAGTGCTTCCAGTAAAAAAGAATGTCAAGATTATAAGCAGGATCGTAACGTATTCCAGTTTTTTCGTCCCTCCTGTTGTATTTTTATCAAAGTATGCACAATGTATTTGCAGACCATGCAACTTATCTAACGACATTTCAGACCTACCGTATTCTTAACGCCGTGCATCCGCGGAAATTTCGTTCTTCTCCTCGGCATAGTAAATTCTCGAACTGGTGCTGGGGTAGTGAAGTGTTCTTTGCCTTCTTCAATGACATTGCCGTACTCGTCCACATATTCTTCGATGCAGCGATACCTGCACACAAAGGTAATCATTGACAATCACATATATAGATCTATCAGACTGGCTAAAAATTATTTCGGTACCTTTTACGGCTCCTACAAAGCTAAAAATTTATACGTCTTTTATCTGAAGAGCATTTCAGAGAACGCAAAAAAGTGAGATACCCCAATTTTCTCAATGTGCGCAAATAAGAGAAAAATACACTTTTTTATCCTATTTCTCAAAGTGGCAGATCACATTTTTATGTTATTCGCTAATTAGAAAAATCTTATTTCTTATTTATTTCCAAATACCAAAGTACTCATCTCTACATCTATGTATCATATCATAAAAACGAAGCTTAGAGTTGAAGAACTGAGCTTCTGAAATTTCACCCATGTTGTGGCATGACTACCCTTCACCAATGATAGAAAATCCTGATTAGATGATATACGATGGTAAAACTAAACTTTAAAATTTCTAACCGCAAATAATCACAAAAATTAACGATGTCAACCATGGAGATTTACACGATAAAACAAAATTATTTTAAAGTCATTTTATAATTTTTTTGCAACAAACGCATAGCAATAAAATTGCGTTACTCCATCTCTTCACTGATTTTGGCTTTAGTAATCAAAAATGTTTTGATACGTATCAGCTCAGCTTTTTCCTACGGTAATCTGAGCGCGTGCATGCATGTTGTTTTGCTTACATGACGATTAATGGAGCGGAAATCTGCTGACATATTACATTCCCAACTTACACGCATCACAACACTTCAATGAAATTTATTCTAGCATGTGAAACTAATGAGTAAACACCTGTATCTCATAAAAATAACTTTTGAGTTGGAATTTTGCAAAGGAGTGGATTACCTCTTCAATCGATGTTTGCCAGGATTTCTTCTCCATTGGAGTTTGTCGTTTATACTATTCAGCTTGCGTTCATAGTCTTCCAGTAATTTATTGCTTACTGTAGCCGCAACTGTGTACACTGCGCAAAGCGCAAGCTGCAAAAGCAGCAATCTCATAGAACCAGCGGAGACGGACGGAGCTGAAAAGGCTTTGATAAGTTGAAAACTTGAGAAATACGTCGCAACATTGCGTAAAAGCCGTAAAATTGTTGGTAAATCAACACATAGATGACGACATAATTCTGCACACTTTTTAAGCATTGAATTTCGATGAGTAGTCATCGGAGAAGATTAACTTCTTAACTGATATGAAGGACACTAAAAGCCAAAGCGTGTGAACGGGAAACAGTTTTTTGCTGAGAACCCATCTCATGTTCAACCTCGAATTTTTTTTGCGAAAAAAAATTTTTTGAAAAAGGGCAGGGTCAGCAGTGGTCTTCGTCTAGGGCTGAAGGTACCTTTAATCTTAGCCTAAATCCCGCCAAACCCAGGAAGAACGCGCATAAGGTACCACTCTTACCGTAATACCTGTACAAGTGTTACAAGGACAATGTCTGTTACCTAGTTGGGGTAAATAGTAGTTTGGTTAGCGACAGAAGGTCAAGTAGTCTGCGTCGGCTAAGCGGCTAGTCAAAGATCTACATCATAGATCAGCAAATAATCAAATGAACTTGTACTAGATTTGAATCACTGGAATTTCTAAATGAGGGGGGGGGAGAAAAATCTAGGACTGGTCCACAATTATTCAGTAAGACAATAAAGTCTCTACGGAAAACGTGGCTTATAAAAGAAGCATATGTGGCTAGGTACGTAGTCCCAAAGGTGGGAGAATTTTTGAACAAGCAAATAGTAGAGTTGATTTCTTCTGTCTGTTGTTGTATAAATTAGCAGATCAGACATAAACCTTCAACATCTAATGATTACAAGCTTTGTGATATAGTATATTTGAGGAAAAATTAAGACACTTCCAGCCCACTGAAAAGCTCATATTTGAGCGCAAGAGTATAAACAGCGCATTTTTCAACGACCACTAGTTGTGTTCGAATCTGGAAGCTAACAATAATTGTTCCGCTGTGTAAGCAAAAACATAAGTGGCGCATAAGCCAGCGCCTTGAATGTCTTGCATGAATGGGAAAACAAGAGTCTGTGGCAAAATAGTCCCAAGTGGGGAAACCGAGAACAGGCAAACAATAAAGCAAGTACTTCCTTTAATCGTAAAATTACGTTCAACAAATAATTCATGGAAAATTTTTTTGTCTTTGCTCAAAAAAGAACGACTGTCATAGCTTAAATCCAGTGCAGACCATTTTTGGGTAGAGGAATCAAATCTCCTTCTTATGAGGTATGCGCTTTTGTAAATAGGCGAGATTTAGAAGATCCTATTTCAACTTTTTGTTTCAACTGCTTATTAGTGTACATATGCCTATGGCAGCCAGGAGTCCAATAAATTAGCGCTCTTTTCTTTCCTTCCTACTCTTTTTTGTTATACAATTTTTTTGAGTTTTGCTGTTGCAGCGAGTGAACACCGTTAAAATTCCTAGTATCATACAAAGTGCTCATAGGTCTTAGGATAAAAATTCGAATAAAATTCTGAAAATATTGAAGAAGGCGTGGTATGTATGCACTGCTTGAGTACATAATGTTTATTTGAAACAATAAAAATCATCTATAGCTGTAACTTAGGCTTATTATGAGGAATGCAACATATGCTTATAAAGGGTGGTTAAGAAGCTTCAATTACGTCTCATAGTAGATTTAGGAAAGCATATTCATAATTCTCAATCACAATAGAAAGGAAGAGATGTGAGCTGGGCTGAATTTTCATGGTCAGCATTCTCAATCTTTTTAAATCTGAAGTAGCTGATGGATACTATTAGGTTGTATAAGCTTTACACTTGAAGGAAAAAATCTCTGAAACTCTCTCCAAAAATTTTCTCTCACCTCCAAATTAAGTAAAGGGCTGTAAATTTTCAATGTATACATGCCACAACCCAATTTTTGAATTTTTTTAATTTCTCAATTATCTTTGGCAAATTTCCAACTTGCGCTATATAATAGCCTAGATCTTCAAACTTTCCTCATATTAGTACCAGTGCCCTAGGGATCCAACAAAAATCTGAAGAATGAGAGAATTTAGACAAAAGAAGAAAATGGAGATTTGACTGTCGTCACAAAATTACCTTTATATTTACTGTAACCCTCACTGCAAAGGTGAAAATGATGCCAATAGATACTACTTTGTCCACTGCCATATATGCCAAATACTAAACTTTGTCGAAGTTTTTAGATTTTTCAGGAGAAAAATGAAAAAAGTGTCTCAAAACTTATGTTAGACCTAATATATGCCTTTAGCAGTAAATGCTCCACGCATGTAAGGGGAAGTCCTTTAAAAGCTGATCCTTTACTAGGACACTGCAAAACTTCTTGAAGAGGAAAGGACACAGTACCAGAGAAGTGCCTACCAAGGACAAATCTGCTCCGGTAAGAAATGGGTTAAGCACGATTCATCCGAATGTCCTGCTAACCGAGTCTCGGTCTCATCGCGAGGCGGAGTTGCTGCGCGCGATGTCAGTGGCAATGAGTCGTGACCGAGTGCAAGAACTCTTTGAAGAAGCCGAAATAGTTATCAATTAGAAGCGCACACAAGGACATACGCTGCTCTAATGCGAGTAGCGGCCGGGAAAAACGCCGTGGAAATTTCGTGCTACGACCTAGAACCCTAGAATTGCTGCAAATAGTGTTAAGAAGTGCAAATACTGTGAAAATGATTTGGGTGAAAAAAATTGATTATCGACAACCGTGGCATGTGGAAATTATTCGAGTGCTGAGGAAAGATTATTCAAAACCTGCCGAGGTTGTGCCTTCGTGGGATTCCTTTTTTGTCAGTCAGCAAAAAAATGGTTCAAAAATTTTTTTTGTCTTAGCTTTATCCAGCTTTTCGTGGGGTTCAAAAAAGTTTTTCGCCATCTTTATCCATATTTTTGTGGGAGATGACTTTATCTGGGCTATTTTGGGCAAATTCTCAGAATTTCTAAAAATTATAAGAATTACCTATCTTTTTCACTTGAACCATTAGAAAATGAACAGCTTTACCATTCTCTCAAGTTCTATCAAACTGGAGCGTATGTATTTCACCAGAATTCTGGAACTTGGTTCCATAATGCTATCTATATCTATACTCAGTTATTTTATGTCAAACATTATCAAAATTCAAAAATCACAGCTCATCATGCCCACATCTCAACAGTACGAATTTACCTCTGGTAAAAGGCAGATGGTAGCCGAACCAAAATTAAAATCAGGAGATGACGGACATCTACCTTTATTGATGAAGGAATTTAAAAATTCCTTTATCAGCTATTTTTGATATCAACAGCAATTGACATCAATGATTTTTGCTTTATCACATTGACGACAACGTGACTGGGACAATGTGTCCCACATGGTGGGTTATGCAAAGTCTGCCACCTGGGACAATGTGACCCACATGGTGGGTCATGGCTTGAATTTGTTGTAAAGCCTGCTTTTTTGGAATACATTCGTTTCAGAAGTTTTCTTATGCTCTAACCCTAAAAATTGCGCTTGTGTTTCTCGTTCGCTTCGTAGATTACCGTAGGTATACTGTAGTTGTTGGTGTGCATGATTTTAGCCAAGAAATTTTCGGTTTATCCGGTAAAGCATTGTCCCAAGAAGCAGACAATAAAAACGCACGTTGTCGTCAATGTGTTAAGCACTGCTAGAGGGCACGTCAATGGGTAAACGGACTACACCTGTCCTTTGCAGAAACGTCAAAAACGAGTTCCTCTGCAAAAAAGAACATTGATTTTTTATTTTCATATCAAGTAAAAAAAATCAGGCGATTGTGGAAAAGGGAATAAAAGTGGAATTTTTTTTAACGATTTTGCTGTTTAGTTGCGTAGAATTACTTATGTTCTCCTCTTTATTTCTCCTTATGTTTGTCCCCTTTCGTTAAAATCATGCCAACTGGGCTCATTGAATCTGGACATAATTATTTCCAATTTTTAAGCTGAAGGGCGTGTCAACATCAAATTGAAACAGAATTACTGCATTTTTTTGAATCCGTTTCGCCAAAGATTTGCTGATTGCAGTTCATAAAAGTTCGACAGTATGCCAAATATAGTAAACTGCTCATCCGTCGTTTCTACGAGCCTAATCGAACCCTAAACAAGAAGGAGAAGTGGGCTAAGCTTTAATCCGTACGCAATTTCAGATTATGCGCAACTCATTTTCGGTTTTCGCTACAGTAGGCATTTCCGTAGGACTCTTTAAAACTGCATTTACCTGCTGGAGTTTGAATGCAGTGAAACCCTGCTTTCACCTAAATTTTGCCATCACAAAACAAAAGGACCAGAGAGAAAAAGTAAAATTGTGTTTTCAGCCAAATTTTGGCCTTTTTCCAGGGCTACTTTTCAAATGAAAAAATGTATCAAACGCTGAGAGCAAATCAATTGCATTTTCCCTGTCAACCAGTAAATGTGTGCAAACTCCAAGCCATAAAAGTCACGGAAATCATGGTTTCATGCCGAAGATATGAGCGAAAACGCCTACTTATAGGAACCTAATTCTATAAGTGCACTTAACAATCAAACTCCATCGTTTTTAAGATTATGATTTCTATCTATCTGATGGCAAGGACGCGCAACTACTTTGAGTTCTTTTTCACAGGAAAACTCATAGCGTTTGCACAGATGTGACCAGATGGCAAGCAAATGCATTTCCAATTCTTTTTAAGGAAACTTCGCAAATCTTGCCTTAAACATATGTGGACATATGTGGCAATTTAAAATGGCACTCCAGAAGATTATTGGCCCGACTGGTATTTCGTTTTCTCACTATGAACTCCCACTTCCATGAAAAACTTGTTCATTGGACGAGTACAGAGTTTTGGACAAGTTCTTAGGTTAGTGATTATTCCGCAGAAACTGCAAACGGCTAAAGACCATCCTCACATCGCGCAGTACTATGCATGAAGCGGTAGTTTATTGGAGGCAATTAAGTGGCCGAAAGAGGGCCATCCATCAGCGCATTATATGAGTGGGAAAGCATAAGGAGATGGCTGTAGGAAGAACTCGTACGGTTGCAACTGGGTCTGAGAGCAGGTCTAGGCAAACTACTATAGC